TTTTTTTTTTTGCTTTTAAATGTCTTTTTCCTTTCTTGTTTTGAATAATCAGTACTCTATTGAAAGTTCCGCTGAAGTTTGGTAATTAGTTGATTTTAAATACCATTTGAACATTGGTTAGAAACCGGAAAATGAGGGGATTTTTAACCGCAGTTTGCAATATTTCACTTTCTCGCGTTCCTCCTTTCATCTCTTCTCCTCTCCATTTCCGCTTACCACCTTCTCCTCGTTTCCCTTCTTCTTCGCCTCCGAAAAGGAAAAAAACATACAAAAGTAAAATAGTACAAGCACAAAAACAGCAAGGAGAAAAATGAAGTTAAATAAAAGATTTTTTTGGCGATTAAAGAAAAAAATTTGAATTTTTTTGGCTAATTTGAATGTAACGTTAGGCGGATAATTAATTGTGATGATGATACCATGCGAAAAGAAATTAAAGGCAAAAAGGCAAATGTCAAAAAGATTGTTTTTGCTGGCAAAAGACAATGATACATGTGCTCCTCTTGTCCTGATGTTCCTCTGGATTTTATCTTACTTATTCTTCCTCTTCACCCTTCTACTCCTCTCGCTTTTCCTGCAACCCAAAATTGCCAATTTTATCATCGCCATCAGTTTCTGAGTATACTTTTTCTTTCCAAAGAAAAAAGAAGAGATTTTTACTTCTGACACATTTTTCAATAATTGATTCTAGTGACTGGAAGTAGCAACACAAAGTTTTGTTTTTTTTTCTTGCATGCATTAACCTCACTAAAAAAAGCCAACCTTGTTTAAATTTCTCAACAATTCTTCTCTTTTCTTGATCTTTCTTCTTTTTTTTTAATTGGATAGCTTGCAAACATTTTTTTGTTTATTCCAACTGTTAAATAGAGTTGAAATACGCAAATATCGACAACCGTCAAGTTTCATTTTTTTTTCAGACGTCTTGCATTTACATATCGTTTATTCAGAAGCAGCAACAACAGCAGAAACAAAAATTAGCACAGATTAAATTCTCGTCTTCTGAAAAATTTGTTTGCATTTAGTGGATATCGAAAGCAAAACAGTTGCATTATTTGAGAGTCTGTGTGTTTTTGCGTATTTGAGAGTCAAAAAACTGATCAAAAACTGAATGCTTAAGTGACAAGTCTGTATTGGTGACC